AAGTGATGAGAAAGATTTTGCTGAGAACATTTTCAAAAAAAGTTCAGAAAGCTAGAACAAAGTGAACAATTTAGAATCAGAATGGAAAGTGATTTAATTTGAAAAAGATTTGTTCTTATATTTAAAGCTACTGCTTTAAACTTCTAGATCCTTTTTGCTCAATGATCAGTGATCATTTTTAGAACAAAAAAAGTCTTTATTTGCTTTAATTAGTACGCAGGTACTCTCTGTTTGTTTTAAATAAAGAAACAGTTTTTGTTTATTCTAATTAGAACAAAGAAGGTGCAATTGACCATTTTTAGGCAAAAGAAGAGTCTTAAAACAAATACTTTTATAAAAATGCAATTTTAAGTAAGATTAACATGCATTTCTCCAATGTGGCGCAATACCAGAATAGCAAACTTTAACTTCAAAAAATCATATCTTGAAAACTACTCGGTATATTATTTTAAAAATTTGGATTCTTACTAATAAAAAGATACTCTACACGATGGTGACATAGAAAAAAACTTACTCGGAGGGTTTTTCTTAGATTACTTCGATTTACTTCAAACTTCTTCGAACACTGTTCGAAGAAAAGTTTGCCAATATTCAATTTCAAATTGCATATCATTCTAAAGATCAATTCTATCCCTTTAGAATGGTCTTTATTTGAAGGAAATCGGCCTAATAGTTATTGAGTAATGATTTTTTTAAGTTAAAGTATTTTAAATTCATTTAAATTAGAAAAAAAATATTTTGTTCAAAGTGTGTGGACTTTTTGAAATCTTTTTTAGTGCATTTGATTTGTCTTACTGAGACGAACAAAATGATATAAAATTTGTCAAGTTGTCACGACATTACTTTTTTTGTCGCCTTGTGTTATAGCAAATTTAAAGGTTTTCCTGGTTTTTTCCTTAAATTGAAATTTGAAATTTTTTGTGAAATTTGTATTAAAATATAATTTTCCTATGTCTATTAATTAAACTCAAAAAAAAATCATATAACTTATAAATAAATTAATAAATTGCAATCTTCAATTTTGTTCAATAACTCGCAATGATAATTTAAACAAAATGCAATAAGAATCCGTGTTTTGCCGTGTTTGTTATTCGGCAAATTTTAATCGCACCTTAAAACTTATTTTGCATCAACAAGGTAATAAATTAAATTTGCAAACAAACTATCAAATTTATTTTTGTGACCAAATTTGTTGTAACCAACACTTCCAACAAAAAATCCTTAAACATTTCAAAAGACGATAATCGAAATGTCAAACATCACTCAAAACTGCAAATTAATTTTTTTTTGGATCTGAAAACCATTACTTGTAATTTATAAATTTCGATACGAAGGTATACAAAGTCTAGAGTTGATTTTCCCCAAAATAAACAGTTTGAAGGTTAGGAAAAAGCACGCCAGAAGTTAGGTATTGAGTTATTTAATGTTAACTCCAGACAAAATATCACAAAAAGTTTTTATTTATTTTAGAATAAAGGGATATTTGTGCGTCTTTCGTAAAGGTTGTCGTCGATACACAACAAGTACATGAAGGAGAAGTAGAGTGCCATGGAGCTGAAAAAGTGCCAGAGGTCGTGGCTGTCGAAGAAGTCCGCGAAGATGCATTGTTGGTTGAGTTGGCGGGATTGAGCTGGACTTTTCTGGAAAAAAAATTGTTTGTTTTTGGACTTTTACCACAAGAACCCACCGTCCATTTTGAGCTCTGGTTGAAGAAGAACATTCCAGATGGGATCAAACATGCCGCTGCGAGGACCCCATAAATGACTGCTTGAACGCAAATTCTTTCACCATAAACACATCTCTAAAAATATTCCCAATTTAACGAGAAAAAATCACATTTTATTGAACAACCTTCATGCAGGTATACATCAGGGTGTATAATAAAGCATTGCTTGCTAAAATTAGTAAAATAAAACTTCCAAAATTGATTTTGTCTGTGCAATATAACAAAACTAGTCCCAATATGATTATTGCAATATTTATTGCAACTGCAATTATAAGTGACCGCCAACGATGTGTGTTTGGTGGTGCAAGGTTTGGGTCTTCGAAATTTCGTTGCCGAAACCGTCGCAAAACGTTGCGAGCAGCCCCGAAGTAATAAATGTTCAAGGATATGTAAATCAACAAAAGGAGAAAAACGATGATTACAACAGCGACAAATATGGGAGGGCCCTTGAAAATGATCCCAATCGTGCCTAAAATATGACAACTATTAGACATTTTTATTTTATTTTAAATGTTTATTTATAACAAAAATGAAAATATCATCGAAATGTGCGTTCGAAATGTTCTGTAACATAAATAAGTTGAAAACTAAATTTTTTCAGAGATGTTGATGTGAAATCTATTACGATTTGTAGATTTTTATGCTGATTACAAAATATAATTCAGTGTTTCACCGA